GTGTTGGTTCCCTAGTTGTTGTATATCTATGTTGGCCAGGGTGGCTCCCAATCAGAGACGGCTGTAGCTCGTTGTCTCTGATTGGGAGTCATACTTAGGTAGCCGTTAGGCATTCATTCATGGTGGTTTCTTGTTCCGTGTTGGTTTGTGTATGTAACCAGGGACGTCACGTTTTCGTTTTTGTTCGTGTGATCATTATCTAAATAAATATGTTCGCATTCAACGCTGCGCCTTGGTCCTCCTCTCTTAACGACGAGCGTGACAGAAGAACCCACCATCACAGGACCAAGCAGCGTGTCCAGGAGCAGGCAGCCTGGACGTGGGAGCAACGGCATAATCTGTATCGTCGTCGGACGGACGAGAGGCAACCCCAAAACAATTTTAGGGGGGGGCACACGGCATGGACGACGGGGCGGACGGAGGCAGAAAAGGGGCGTATTCAGAAGGCCACCAGGTTACGGGGGCCACTGGTCAAAGTAGGGAAAGAAGGTTTAGAGGCACGGCGAGAGGTACTGGGGTGTGTTACCAGTCCGGTCTGGCCCGTTCCAGATCCCGGGGTAGAGCCAGTGGTGTGTGTCCCCAGTACGGTCCGGCCTGTTACGGCCCCTCGCACCAAATGTACGGTGCGCGTCGCCAGCCCGGTCCGGCCTGTTCCTGCCTCTCGCACCAAGCCTACGGTGTGCGTCGCCAGCCCGGTCCGGCCTGTCCCTGCTCCACGCACCAGGCCAGGGGTGCGCATCGTCAGCCCGGTCCGGCCCGTTGCTGCTCCACGCACCAAGCCAGGGGGGCGAGTCGCCAGCCCGGTCCGGCCTGTTCCTACTCCACGCACCAAGCCAGGGGTGCGCATCGTCAGCCCGGTCCGGCCCGTTCCTACTCCACGCACCAAGCCAGGGGTGCGCATCGTCAGCCCGGTCCGGCCCGTTCCTACTCCACGCACCAAGCCAGGGGTGCGCATCGTCAGCCCGGTCCGGCCCGTTCCTACTCCACGCACCAAGCCAGGGGTGCGCATCGTCAGCCCGGTCCGGCCCGTTCCTACTCCACGCACCAAGCCAGGGGTGCGCGTCGTCAGTCCCGCACAACCCGTGCCTGGGTCACCGGTGCCTGGTAAGGTGTCAGCTGCTCCACACCGGAGCCTAAGCGGTCCGCTTCAACGATGTCCGGTCCAGCTCCAGCCAGCGGGGCCAGACCGGACCAGGGGCGCCACGGGGGGATGGTGGAAGGGTGGTGGTCAAGCCCGGAGCCGGAACCGCCTCCGAGGAGGAATGCCCACCCAGCCCTCCCTTGGTTGGTGTACGTTTAGGCGCGGTCGCAGTCCGCGCCTTTAGGGGGGGGTACTGTCACACCCTGGCTCTGGGACTCTATATGTTGAGCCAGGGTGTGTTCATTCTATGTGTTATATTTATATGTTGGGAGTTCTAGTTTGTTTATTTCTATGTTGGCCTGAGTGACTCCCAATCAGAGGCAACGAGTGTCAGCTGTGGCTGGTTGTCTCTGATTGGGAGCCATATTTAAACTGTCTGTTTTTCCCTTTGTGTTTGTGGGTTCTTGTTCCGTGTTGATCTATGTTACCTAGGACGTTACGAGGCGTTTGTTGTTTTGTTCATTGTCAGTATTTATCACTATAGATAAATAAACATGTTCGTTCATCACGCTGCGCCTTGGTCTATTCCGTACGACGATCGTGACACTAGAATACTACTAAAGCTATCTTATGCAACTTTTAATACACGTAAAAACTCTCTCTCTCTCCACCCATTCCCTATTGAATAAGTGAGTGTTTTCTATTTAACCCCAAAACATGCTACAAATAGTCCATTCAACATTACCAAACCAAATACTCCATCGTACCCATTCAATCAACACATCAGCAGTGGAATTTACACTCATAAATGCAGATTGTTACTCCATGCCTTGAAATGATAAATGGATTTCCACCAATAGCATATTACTGATTTCTCATTTTACCCTCTGACACAAAATGAAGTTCCCTCACTGTACTACGTTAGCTCTACCATGATAATTAGTTCAATTGAACCCTCTATTTGCTTTGTACTATATTATACATTACGTCTAAAACAACATTACTTAGTTTATTCCACCATCATATTATCCAACAACGCCACAATCTTAAACTCATATGGGGCGGCAGGCAGTTTAGTGACCAATAGCGCCGCGCCAACAACCGAGAGGTCGCCGGTTCCAATCCCCGAGCCGACCAGGCGAAAAATCTGCCGATGTGCCCTCGAGCAAGTCACTCAACCCCAATTGCTCCCATAAATCGCTCTGGACAAGAGCGTCTGCCAAATTACCAAAAATGCAAATGTAAACATTCTCTACTTTCTCACCCATGACGCACGTCTGCGTTCGGGTGAGCAAGTTTAGAACATTCTCTCGTCAGATACCCACTTGCACCTCTCAAATAATCACCCCGTGGTGTTCCCAGCCAACTTCCAGTCTTTCATGGCTCCAAAAGCCACACTTTCGCTCTCTCCAGCCCCTCCCCTCGCAACTCTACCTTTTTCTTGTCCAGGGGGAACAGACTTTGTGAGGAGCTATGAGGAGCTGTTTCTCGTTTTAGCGCGTTTCCAAAATTCTGCCGTTATTCAAAGTACTTCAGTCTATTTATTTAAATCAAATAATTCCCACCTAATTAGTTAAAGTTGGGGCACGTTTATTTCAGCCTTATTTATTTGAAAGCAGTATTCTTACAGTGCCACACATCAAATGGTAAATCGAACGAATAAACCCAAGTGTTTTAATTAATTAACCAATGGTCGTTATATCAAATCAAGCGCCACACCATATCACTTCAATTTACTTATTTAAAACCAGTACTATGCTGTCAAACATCAAATGTTATATTTCAAATATATCAGTTCAAACGTTTTAGTTCAGTCACACTCATTCATCACTTTTCATTTAATATTTTCGATTGTCACTGACGGGTTATATGGTTTGAGTAACCACAAATCCAACATTTATTCCCAAATTATACCGTTTGGACAGCCACAAACGTCTTTTGATTCCCAATTTGTTTTCTATCAAGGTATACAGGTTTATCATTCACACTTTCATGCATACGACAACACTCGCACTGTCTAACTTTTATAGTTTCAACACAAACATTTAGAAAAACAGATTTGCAGACTAGATTTGCCGAACAAAGAACTTCATTTTATTTTAAAATAACAATATTAAAAACACAGTGAATTAAACACAAAGGCAAACTATGTACAGTATGATTCAAAATTAATATCAAGCAATAATAAAGCAACATTTTTAAATAACAGAGAAAATACAGGCCACACATTTAACTAAACTTAACAAAAATTCGCCAAACTTCTCCTCCGATGTCTCTCTATCCCTCACACACGTCCTCTGCCCCGCTGTGTTCGCTCTCGCTGTCATCGCTCCCCAGCTGCTCCGCTTCGTTAGCATCTTTTAGACGTTGTTTTTCTGCTCGCCATCTTCTTACATTACACTCAGTGACCCCGAATGTCTTGGCAGCTTGGCAGTTGTTAGATGACTCTGCCTTATTGACAACCATTATTTTGAAATTGGCATCATAGCTCCTCCGCTGTTGTTTATTGACCTGGCCCACTTTTGAGCCACTTGTCTCTAAATGGTCAGCCTGTCTTTCCATCTTTAAACACCGGTAACGGGCTGGTTGTTAAGGACGCCTCTTCCCTCCTACCTCCTATGGGTGTCTTTTGTTAACGTTCGCACAATTTAAACCTTATTTCCTAATTGTAATTCTCATTATTTACTGTTTTAAAATATTCTTTGTATTCACAGCCAAAAATGGTACACAGTTAAACGTAGTATACAGTTATCACACAGCAAAAATAGTACACAGCTGGTACTCTGACTCTATGACATCCTGAAGAAGGTGTTTTACACCAGTAAACAGGAAGTGGAGGGGATTCTGGGACACAACCGAGCTGTGTCAGGGTGTAGGTGAGTTACTCTCCATGAGGCTGCATCTGAAATGGCATCCTATTCTCTACATAGTGAACTACATTTGGACAGAGCCTTGCCCAAAGTAGTGTACTATATAATGAATAGGGTGCCATTTTGGACACAGCCTCAAGTCTTATTTGATGTGTGATGTTTTCCTGGAAACGAAAATAGCAACATTCAGTCATAAGACCTACACATTCGGTCTTCATTACATACAGTGCATTCGGAAAGTATTCAGACCCCTTTACTTTTTCCACATTTTGTTACGTTACAGCCTTATTCTAAAATGGATTAAATCGTTTCCATCAAGGATCTCTGTGTACTTTGCTCCATTCGTCTTTCCCTCGATCCTGAGTAGTCTCCCAGTCCCTGCCGCTGAAAAACATCCCCACAGCATGATGCTGCCACCACCATGCTTCACCGTAGGGATGGTGCCAGGTTTCCTCCAGACGTGACACTTGGCATTCAGGTCAAAGAGTTCAATCTTGGTTTCATCAGACCAGAGAATCTTGTTTCCCATGGTCTGAGAGTCCTTTAGGTGCCTTTTGGCAAACTCCAAGCGGACTGTCATGTGCCTTTTACTGAGGAGTGGCTTCCGTCTGGCCACTCTACCATAAAGGTCTGATTGGTGGAGTGCTGCGGAGATGGTTGTCCTTCTGGAAGGTTCTCCCATCTCCACAGAGGAACTCTGGAGCTCTGTCAGAGTGACCATCGGGTTCTTGGTCACCTCCCTGACCAAGGCCCTTCTCCCCTGATTACTCTCATAGCAAAAGGTCTGAATACTTGTGTAAATAAGGTATTTCTGTTTTAAAATGTTTAATACATTTGCAAAAACTTCTAAAAACCTGTTTTCGCTTTGTCATTATGGGCTATTGTGTGTAGATTGATGAGGAAAACAAATAATTTAATCAATTTTAGAATGAGCTGTAACGTAACAAAATGTGGAAAAAGTCAAGGGGTCTGAATACTTTTTGAATGACCTGTATATCCCATAGAGTTCTGTCTCTGAAGGTTTTCTATTTCCTGGTTACAGAGTGTTGATGTCTGATGTGAGTGAACACATGGGGACAGAAGACCTGGAATCTCTCATGTTCCTGTTGAGGGGTTCTTTACCCAGAGAGAGGTGGACCAGAATCAAGGTAAGAGGCCAGGCCTGTGGCACAAATGGCTTCCTATTCCCTATATAGTGCACTACTTTTGACCAGAGCCCATAGGGCAGGAACAGGGTGCCATTTGGGACAGACACCAGGTCTCTGAGGCCTGCATACCTAACGCTAACCATTCAGAGGGCTTTACTGAGTCATTACTCTCTTTTGGTTAACACTCACAGAATAACAACCTGTTATTTAATTACAGACAAGCCTGATCTGATTATGTAATGAAATATTTCTGAATTTTGAAATACCAGTAGGTGTGCTGTATATGTATCGTGTATTACTGTGAGAACATTCCTCATCATCTGTGGTATGTTTCCTGAGGATCTAGTTATTGTTCTGAACCATAGAACCATTTAAACTCCTCTCTCTGTGTGACAGAGTTTCCTGGATGTCATAGTTGAACTGGAGAAACTGGACAGAGTGTCGTCTGAGAAGGTGGAGCTGATAGAACGATGTCTGAGGGACATCAGCAGGGTTGACCTGGTCAGGAAGGTCAAAGGGTACCAGAACCAGACGTCAGGATATTGGATGGAGATCTGGGGCCGTATGTATCAAGCGTCTCAGATTAGGAGTGCTGATCTAGGATCCACCTGTCCATGTAATCTTATACATTGTGATCTAAAAGGCTAAATGGATCCTAAATCAGAACTCCTACTCTGAACCACCTCTGTTACATCCTGTTTGGAAATACTTCTTCCTGTGCACCCTGTTGTATTTGGAACACCATAACATAGACCAGTGGTGGCTAGTCACCTGGTCCAGCCACAACATAGACCAGTGATGGCTAGTCACCTGGTCCAGCCACAACATAGACCAGTGGTGGCTAGTCACCTGGTCCAACCACAACCTAGACTAGTGGTGGCTAGTCACCTGGTCCAACCACAACATAGACCAGTGGTGGCTAGTCACCTGGTCCAACCACAACCTAGACTAGTGGTGGCTAGTCACCTGGTCCAACCACAACATAGACCAGTGGTGGCTAATCACCTGGTCCAACCACAACATAGACCAGTGGTGGCTAATCACCTGGTCCAGCCACAACATAGACCAGTGATGGCTAGTCACCTGGTCCAGCCACAACATAGACCAGTGGTGGCTAGTCACCTGGTCCAACCACAACATAGACCAGTGATGGCTAGTCACCTGGTCCAGCCACAACATAGACCAGTGATGGCTAGTCACCTGGTCCAGCCACAACATAGACCAGCAGAAGCTAGTCACCTGGTCCAACCACAACATATACCAGCAGAGGCTAGTCATCTGGTCCAACCACAACATAGACCAGTGATGGCTAGTCACCTGGTCCAACCACAACATATACCAGTGATGGCTAGTCACCTGGTCCAACCACAACATAGACCAGCAGAAGCTAGTCACCTGGTCCAACCACAACATAGACCAGTGGTGGCTAGTCACCTGGTCCAGTCACAACATATACCAGTGATGGCTAGTCACCTGGTCCAGCCACAACATATACCAGTGATGGCTAGTCACCTGGTCCAGCCACAACATATACCAGTGATGGCTAGTCATCTGGTCCAGCAGCACTGGATCAGGACTCCAGTGGGTACATCACTTCTACACTACCTCCTCCTCTCTACCACAGCTTTCTGTAAAGGCTTGATATTTCTCTAACAGTGCTTTCTGTCCCTCATTCCAACCCAATGCCCACTGCCTCCCCTGTACCATTCAAGACAGGAGCCGTCCACACAGAACAGTATGTTCTCTCTTAATTAACAACTGTTTATCAGGACCAACATTCATAAAAAAAGAATATGGGTCTGTATCAATGATTTTTGTCATTCCAGCCCCAGATAATGAACCTGAAAGAAGAAGGCAGGTCTGTCAGAACCCGCTGGACGTGTACAGGCTCCAGTCAGACCTCCGGGGTGAATGTCTCATAATAGACTGTGTGGGCAGTGATGGAGGTGAGAGTCCACATGCTGGGTCTACTGTAGAGACAGATGGTACATGCTGGGTCTACTGTAGAGACAGATGGTACATGCTGGGTCTAGTGTAGAGACAGATGGTACATGCTGGGTCTAATGTAGAGACAGATGGTACATGCTGGGTCTAGTGTAGAGACAGATGGTACATGCTGGGTCTAGTGTAGAGACATATGGTACATACTGGGTCTAGTGTAGAGACAGATGGTACATGCTGGGTCTAGTGTAGAGACAGATGGTATATGCTGGGTCTAGTGTAGAGACATATGGTACATGCTGGGTCTAGTGTAGAGACAGATGGTACATGCTGGGTCTAGTGTAGAGACAGATGGTACATGCTGGGTCTAGTGTAGAGACAGATGGTACATACTGGGTCTAGTGTAGAGACAGATGGTACATACTGGGTCTAGTGTAGAGACAGATGGTACATGCTGGGTCTAGTGTAGAGACAGATGGTACATACTGGGTCTAGTGTAGAGACAGATGGTACATACTGGGTCTAGTGTAGAGACAGATGGTACATACTGGGTCTAGTGTAGAGACAGATGGTACATACTGGGTCTAGTGTAGAGACATATGGTACATGCTGGGTCTAGTGTAGAGACAGATGGTACATACTGGGTCTAGTGTAGAGACAGATGGTACATACTGGGTCTAGTGTAGAGACAGATGGTACATACTGGGTCTAGTGTAGAGACAGATGGTACATGCTGGGTCTACTGTACAGACAGATGGTACATGCTGGGTCTAGTGTAGAGACAGATGGTACATACTGGGTCTAGTGTAGAGACAGATGGTACATACTGGGTCTAGTGTAGAGACAGATGGTACATGCTGGGTCTACTGTAGAGACAGATGGTACATACTGGGTCTAGTGTAGAGACAGATGGTACATGCTGGGTCTAGTGTAGAGACAGATGGTACATGCTGGGTCTACTGTAGAGACAGATGGTACATACTGGGTCTAGTGTAGAGACAGATGGTACATGCTGGGTCTAGTGTAGAGACAGATGGTACATACTGGGTCTAGTGTAGTAACAGTGATGATGTAACAGTGATGATGTGTGTCAGTACCAGTGATGATGTAACAGTGAAGATGTGTGTCAGTAACAGTGATGATGTGTGTCAGTAACAGTGATGATGTGTGTCAGTAACAGTGATGATGTAACAGTGATGATGTGTGTCAGTAACAGTGATGATGTGTGTCAGTAACAGTGATGATGTGTGTCAGTAAAAGTGATGATGTGTGTCAGTAACATGATGATGTGTGTCAGTAACAGTGATGATGTGTGTCAGTAACAGTGATGATGTGTGTCAGTAACAGTGATGATGTGTGTCAGTAACAGTGATGATGTAACAGTGATGATGTAACAGTGATGATGTAACAGTGATGATGTGTGTCAGTAACAGTGATGATGTGTGTCAGTAACAGTGATGATGTGTGTCAGTAACAGTGATGATGTGTGTCAGTAACAGTGATGATGTGTGTCAGTAACAGTGATGATGTGTGTCAGTACCAGTGATGATGTGTGTCAGTAACAGTGATGATGTAACAGTGATGATGTGTGTCAGTAACAGTGATGATGTAACAGTGATGATGTGTGTCAGTAACAGTGATGATGTAACAGTGATGATGTGTGTCAGTAACAGTGAAAATGTGTGTCAGTAACAGTGATGATGTGTGTCAGTAACAGTGATGATGTGTGTCAGTAACAGTGATGATGTGTGTCAGTAACAGTGAAAATGTGTGTCAGTAACAGTGATGATGTGTGTCAGTAACAGTGATGATGTGTGTCAGTAACAGTGATGATGTGTGTCAGTAACAGTGATGATGTTCTTCTTCCCTCCAGACATGTTGGAGGAGATGTTCAGCTGGCTCCACTTCAAGGTGACCCTGGTTAAGTGGCTGGGTGTGGGGGATACCCTGTCTCTCCTCAGGCAGGCTGGGTGTGGGGGATACGGCTGCCCAACAGAGGGAGAACCAGGATGTTGATGCCTTCACTTGCTGCATCATCAGCCGTGGTACTGCCACAGACCTGCTGCATCATCAGCCGTGGTACTGCCACAGACCTGCTGCATCATCAGCCGTGGTACTGCCACAGACCTGCTGCATCATCAGGCGTTGTACTGCCACAGACCTGCTGCATCATCAGCCGTTGTACTGCCACAGACCTGCTGCATCATCAGCCGTTGTACTGCCACAGACCTGCTGCATCATCAGCCATGGAACTGCCACAGACCTGCTGCAATCATCAGCCGTGGTACTGCCACAGACATGCTGACATCAAGCCGTGGTACTCGCACACAGACCTGTCTGCATCATCAGCCGTGGTACTGCCACAGACCTGCTGCATCATCAGCCGTTGTACTGCCACAGACCTGCTGCATCATCAGCCGTTGTATACTGCCACAGACCTGCTGCATCATCAGCCGTTGTAACTGCCACAGACCTGCTGCATCATCAGCCGTTGTACTGCCACAGAACCTGCTGCATCATCAGCCGTTGTACTGCCACAGACCTGCTGCATCATCAGCCGTTGTACTGCCACAGACCTGCTGCATCATCAGCCGTGGTACTGCCACAGACCTGCTGCATCATCAGCCGTGGTACTGCCACAGACCTGCTGCATCATCAGCCGTTGTACTGCCACAGACCTGCTGCATCATCAGCCGTTGTACTGCCACAGACCTGCTGCATCATCAGCCGTTGTACTGCCACAGACCTGCTGCATCATCAGCCGTTGTACTGCCACAGACCTGCTGCATCATCAGCCGTTTTACTGCCACAGACCTGCTGCATCATCAGCCGTGGTACTGCCACAGACCTGCTGCATCATCAGCCGTGGTACTGCCACAGACCTGCTGCATCATCAGCCGTTGTACTGCCACAGACCTGCTGCATCATCAGCCGTTGTACTGCCACAGACCTGCTGCATCATCAGCCGTGGTACTGCCACAAACCTGCTGCATCAGCAGCCGTGGTACTGCCACAGACCTGCTGCATCATCAGCCGTTGTACTGCCACAGACCTGCTGCATCATCAGCCGTGGTACTGCCACAGACCTGCTGGCTACAGACTCATTATACATTTGACATTTTAGTCATTTAGCAGACGCTCTTTTCCAGAGCGACTTACAGTTAGTGAGTGCATACATTTTCATACTCCCACAGGCAGAGCAAAGCACCTGCAACACCAGGGTCGTGGGTTCGATTCGCGCTGGGGCCACCCATAGGAAAATTATATGCACGCATGACTAAGTCACTTTGGATAAAAGAGTCTGCTAAATGGCATATCTTAGTATAATCATTACAGGCTAGGTCTGACTCCCGAGTGGTGCAGTGGTCTAAGGCACTGCATCGCAGTGCTAGCTGTGCCACTAGAGATCATGGTTTGAATCTAGAATCTTTCATAGCCGGCCACAACCGGGAGATCCATGGGGCGACGCACAATTGGCTCAGCGTCATCCAGGGTAGGGGAGGGAATGGCCGGCAGGGATGTAGCTCAGTTGGTAGAGCATGGCATTTGCAACGCCAGGGTTGTGGGTTCGATTCCCACGGGGGGCCAGTATGAAAAAATAAATAATGTATGCACTCACTAACTGTAAGTCGCTCTGGATAAGAGCGTCTGCTAAATGACTAAAATGTAAATGTAAATGTCTGCGTCTGGACACCTCTTCACCCTGACTGCTGCCCCGGGCTCACCTCTTCACCCTGACTGCTGCCCCGGGCTAACCTCTTCACCCCTGACTGCTACCCCAGGCTAACCTCTTCACCCTGACTGCTGCCCCGGGCTAACCTCTTCACCCTGACTGCTGCCCCGGGCTAACCTCTTCACCCTGACTGCTGCCCGCTACTCTCACCCTGACTGCTACCCAGGCAACCTCTTCACCTGACTGCTGCCCGGGCTACCTCTCCCCTGACTGCTGCCCGGCTAACCTCTCACCCTGACGGCGGCTAACCTCTTCACCCGACTGCTGCCCGGCAAGCCCAACTGTTCTTCATCCAGACCTATAGCGTGTCAGACCCCCAGGACTGCTCCTTCAGGCCGACAGAACACCTTGCTCACAGGGAGGAGGACCTGCTGGAGACTGACGGGTCTGAGGGGTATCCCAGTGTGGAGTCAGTCCCCACAGACGCAGGTCTGAGGGGTTTCCCAGTGTGGAGTCAGTCCCCACAGACGCAGACGTCTTCTGGTGCCACTGTTGGACTGGTGAGGATCAGCTGGAGTACCTGCAGGCCCTGAGAGAGGCGGTTCTGAGAGGTAGTGGAGCTACTACCTAGAACAGGCCCTGAGAGAGGCGGTTTGAAGGTAGTGAGCTACTACCTAGAACAGGCCCTGAGAGAGGCGGTTCTGAGAGGTAGTGGAGACTCTACCTAGAACAGCCCTGAGAGAGGCGGTTCTGAGAGGTAGTGGAGCTACTACCTAGAACAGGCCCTGAGAGAGCGGTTCTGAGAGGAGTGGAGTACTACCTAGAACAGGCCCTGAGAGAGGCGGTTCTGAGAGGTAGTGGAGCTACTACCTAGAACAGGCCCTGAGAGAGGCGGTTCTGAGAGGTAGTGGAGCTACTACCTAGAACATGTCTGCAGGCCCTGAGAGGGGTTCTGAGAGGTAGTGGAGCTACTACCTAGAACAGGCCCTGAGGAGGCGGTTCTGAGAGTAGTGGAGTCACTACCTAGAACAGGCCCTGAGAGAGGCGGTTTCTGAGAGGTAGTGGCCCTACTACCTAGAACATGGTCTGCAGGCCCTGAGAGAGGCGGTTCTGAGAGGTAGTGGAGCTACTACCTAGAACAGGCCCTGAGAGAGGCGGTTCTGAGAGGTAGTGGAGCTACTACCTAGAACAGGCCCTGAGAGAGGCGGTTCTGAGAGGTAGTGGAGCTACTACCTAGAACAGGCCCTGAGAGAGGCGGTTCTGAGAGGTAGTGGAGCTACTACCTAGAACAGGCCCTGAGAGAGGCGGTTAACTAACCCTAACCCTACCTAGAACATGGTGGAGGGGTCATAACACCGTGTAACAATTATGTCCTTTAGCTCAGTGGGTAGAGCATGGCGCTTGCAACGCCAGGGTTGTGGGTTCGATTCCCACGGGGGGCCAGTTGGTAGAGCATGGCGCTTGCAACGCCAGGGTTGTGGGTTCGATTCCCACGGGGGGCCAGTATGAAAAATGTATGCACTCACTAACTGTAAGTCGCTCTGGATAAGAGCGTCTGCTAAATGACTAAAATGTAAATGTAATGTCCTGACTGTCTTGCAGGAAAAACCATCTAGTGGATGTCCATACAGAGATAAACAGAGTGATATTAGTGGATGTCCATACAGAGATAAACAGAGTGATATTAGTGGATGTCCATACAGAGATAAACAGAGTGATATTAGTGGATGTCCATACAGAGATAAACAGAGTGATATTAGTGGATGTCCATACAGAGATAAACAGAGTGATATTAGTGGATGTCCATACAGAGATAAACAGAGTGATATTAGTGGATGTCCATACAGAGATAAACAGAGTGATATTAGTGGATGTCCATACAGAGATAAACAGAGTGATATTAGTGGATGTCCATACAGAGATAAACAGAGTGATATTAGTGGATGTCCATACAGAGATAAACAGAGTGATATTAGTGGATGTCCATACAGAGATAAACAGAGTGATATTCGACCATAACAGAAGTCAGATACAACATCAATCTGAGGCACACACTCAGAAAGAACCTCTATATGTTATAGGAGCCAGAACAAAGTTTACACTAGTGTATAACTACACACACACAAGCGCCACATTGTTTTATAAAGTATACAACAGCACCCTCTACTGGCAGCTTTGATACATCTTTCTTGCGTAGCGCAGCTAACATACAGTAAGTACATAGCTGTGCACAAAAAAGTCTGTATATTTTTTAACAATGTATTTATTAAGTAGTGTGTTTTTATTTTTACTGAAGGATGGATGAAGGATTTTAGAAAGTAATGTGAATTCAGATGTGTGTATTTTCAGTTGTGGCCAAGGCTGATAGGTGGTAAGAAAATGTTGACCTAAATACTTTATTTATTTACCTGGTAGAGCATTTAGATGGGAAAGGAAAGCTAATCCCCCTGGTGCAGATCTTGACACAAACCGGTGCGCCTGGCACCTACTACCATACCCCATTCAAAGGCACTGACCACAAACCGGTGCGCCTGGCACCTACTACCATACCCCGTTCAAAGGCACTGACCACAAACCGGTGCGCCTGGCACCTACTACCATACCCCGTTCAAAGGCACTGAAATCTTTTGTCTTGCCCATTCATCCTCTGAATGGCACACATACACAATCCATGTCTCAAGGCTTAGAAATCCTTCTTTAACCTGTCTCCTCCCCTTCATCTACACTGATTGAAGTGGATTTAACAATGACATCAATGAGGGATCATAGCTTTCACCTGGTCAATCTATGTCATGAAAAGAGCAGGTGTTCTTAATGTTTTGTTCACTCAGTGTTTATCCAGATATCTGGAAATGTATCTGAAATCCCGAAGCACAAGGTTATGCAGTACGGCGTCCCACAGCTAGATGGCGATCCAGGATAACTTTGGTGGTGTCAGTCGGTCAGACTTCTCAGAGGTTTGGCCCAAAAGGACTCCAGATTGGTGTATTTCAGAATATTCTAACCTCCATGGTTTTACGTGTGATTGGAAAAAATGCAGGAAAATGTGGAGCCCATATGCAAAATGACCGGTATGTAGGTGAGCATGCATGCACGCCATCAAGCACCAGACAACGTGAACACGCTATGATGCAATGGCGGCGGCGCTGCTGTGTGTGACAGTTGAACGAGTTCTCAAACCAAGCCGCTCGACGAAAGACAACAGAACGTGAACAGGAAACCAACCTTTATACTATTATACTATAGGATATATACATATTTTACGTTGTAATACACCACCCCTACATGCCATAATCTGATGGAGCTATGGGTTTATTTGGCCACTGTCACTAGGCCTACATATTCACACTCTAACTGAATTGAATGGGGGATGAATAACTACTTTTCACTGAAGGGAATGAGGTACAACATACAACTTTGATCGAAGACCTTAAAATCATGTCTGACAAGACCAATGAATCATAACGGTGTCCTAATATAGTGTGGATAAATGAGTAGCCTATTCTACAATAATCTAACTGTGTGATAGTATTATTTATCTAATTGATAAATGAAATTATAATTGGGGATGGGTAGGCTACTTCATTCTCTGGGAGTATGTTAATGAAGGCTTTTCAGCTGTTGAACTATGGCAAGGTCGAACTCATTTCTAAATCTGCCTTTCATTTAGTCAAGAAGTGATGAGCCAGAGCAACCAATCAGCGTCACAGCAGCTGTTCTACCCACCACCCCCACTGCTCACTCTTCACAAGCAACCACATCCTCTTCTCCTGTTCAATGAATTTGCCGCCACACTGAAAAGGACTTTACATACGTACCTCTGTGCCCATGTCATTGCAACATGATCCATCCAAGACGCCAACAATGTGAGAAACGTAAACAAGATGCTACAGTAGTGTGTGTGTGTGTGTGTGTGTGTGTGTGTGTGTGTGTGTGTGTGTGTGTGTATGGATGGATGGAGTTCCAAGAAAATATATGAGTAGATGGCAAAGGAGCTAGTGATGAGAGTGAGAGTGTACAGTATGAAAATAAAGACCCCTTGGGATCTAAAATGAGTGCCCTCCTGTATCTCCTTCTTGTCCGTTTGAGGATACTACAGTCACCCCCTGGTGGAGGTTCTTGGTTCTGCTATTTAAGTCTGAGCAGAGGTTGACGAAAACCTTCAAAGGTGGCGGTGCTATGTTGCCTGTTATCCTGAATACCAGGCAGATGTTTGAGTACAGAATGAAATGGTGTAAACTTAACAGGCTAAACTTGTTGAGAACACTCTTTGGAAAGGGGTTTCAACAGGGTTCTTTGGCTGTCACCAAAGGAGAACACTTTTTGGTTCCAGGTAGAAGTATTTTTGGTTCCATGTAGAACCCTCTGTGGAATGGAGCCCAAAAGGGTTCTACCTGGACACAGAAGAGGTTCTACCTGGAACCAAAAAGGGTTCTCCTATGGGGACAGTGGAAGAAAAGGGTTATCCTATGGGGACAGTGGAAGAAAAGGGTTCTCCTATGGGGACAGTGGAAGAATCCTTTCAAGATGTAGATAGCACCTTTTTATCGGAGTGTAGGCCCATATTGTAGTGGTGGTTCCGTGGTTTTCTGTGAAAAACAAACTAAATAAATGTTCATTGATGGTGGGGAGTTACTATGAAACATCCCCAGAAATACTATGAAACATCCCCACTTTTAGCACACGTTTGCCAGCAGGCAAAGTAACCTGTGTGTGCTGAGGCATGTCTCACTCAACATTGACAGGACTGACAAAAAGACATCAATGAGCAAAACAATGACATGCAAACAAAAGATAACGTATCTAACATGCATTATTAGGAGACTAGATACAAATAGCTAATCATGGCTACCAATGTTCTAGCATTCATTCATTGAGGCAAGCAGATCAGAGATGTCAAGGTGCAGTGGTGGAAAAAGTACCCAATTGTCATACTTTAGTAAAAGTATAGATACAGTTGAAGTCGGAAGTTTACATACACCTTAGCCAAATACATTTAAACTAGTTTTTTCCACAATATCTGACATTTAATCCTAGTAAAAATTCCCTGTCTTAGGTTAGTTAGGATCACCACTTTATTTTAAGAATGTGAAATGTCAGAATAATAGTAGAGAGTATGATTTATTTCAGCTTTTATTTATTTCATCACATTCCCAGTGGGTCAGAAGTTTCCATGCACTCAATTAGTATTTGGTAGCATTGCCTTTAAATTGTTTAACTTGGGCCAAACATTTCGGGTAGCCTTCCACAAGCTTCCCACAATAAGTTGGGTGAATTTTGGCCCATTCCTCCTGACAGAGCTGGTGTAACTGAGTCAGGTTTGTAGGCCTCCTTGCTCGCACACGCTTTTTCAGTTCTGCCCACAAATGTTCTATAGGATTGAGGTCAGGGCTTTGTGATGGCCACTCCAATACCTTGACTTTGTTGTCCTTCAGCCATTTTGCCACAACTTTGGAAGTATGCTTGGGGTCATTGTCCATTTGGAAGACCCATTTGCGACCAAGCTTTAACTTCCTGACTGATGTCTTGAGATGTTGCTTCAATATATCCACATTATGTTCCCTCCTCATGATGCCATCTATTTTGTGAAGTG